TAGTAAATAGAGCATCTCCTATTCCCTGCTGCCCTCCCATGGTGAATTTATAGGCAGCCACAAGATCACCTCTCAGCCTTCTCTTGTGAAGGCTGAAGAGGTCTAGGTCCCTCAGTCTCTCCTCGTAGGGCCTTGCCTGAAGGCCTCTGACCATACGAGTGGCCATCCTACAAACCCTCTACTTACGAAGATGAATGAATTTGTCTGCTTTGATGGTTTTCCTTGAAAAAAGGTGCTATAATGGAAAGTAATTATAACAATTGTTGCTTGGAATATAATAGATTGTGTTGGGAAGGAGTAAAATATAATAATATGGAATTTGAGTCAGAATTTTGAGTCTCTAAGGACCTATGCCTACAGCTTTCACTTTGCTTCAATGTTGATATCTGTTAAATGGCTTAATTATTCTTACCTACTTCATGGTGATGCTGTCTGGCTTAATTACTGGATTAAAAACTGATCCCAGATCCTAAGATGTATAATGCTATAAAAGTGTGTCATACTTTTTTAAGTAGGTTTCATGAGTCCAGTTATGGAAGCACTTAAGGCTTTTGCCGTCCTTTGGATCCTTAAGAATATTTCCTGAAGCCAATTATTACAAACAGGTGGTTACCACCTGTGTAGTCCATTTTGCAGGCCCCCATATTGCCAAGGTCAAGATTAATGTCCCACACACAATTTGGACATTGTTTTCACATACATTAATTTTATTCAAAGTGTTATTAAGCAAGTTTAATGGTCATGGAACAGTGCTAGCTTCAAACAGAAATATAAACTGAGTAAAAATACAGTGAGGGTAACAAAAGGGATAAAACTTTTAAGAAATATGTATGATACAGAACAGTTAAGAGAAGAGCGTGTATAGCTCAGACACTCATGGGGAATATAATAGTGTGTCTGAATCTGCAAATAAATTCCTAAATCAGGCCGTTATTTACAATAATGAACAAGGGTATAACAAAAATTAATAGTCTAAAATTAAGAGTGGAATTATTTTGACAGTAAATAGTTGAAAGCTCTTTCATTCAGGCTATTAGATAGAAAAATACCAAGTACCCAAAAGCATGATTAATAGAATTGGAAGAAATAGCATAGGTTAATTTTATCCTGTAATCCTGCAGGAGGATCACCTATGACCTCACTCAAGAAGGCATTTTGACCCATAATGTCCTAAATCCAGAAGCATTAGAAAGACCAAGTGTTAGCATTAAACAGTGTTATCAGAGCACCTTTAGAAGAGGGCAGATTTTGGAGGTGGTGAAGTAGAAGTTGCAAAATGTCAACAGTTTACAACATCTATTATGTTGGAAAGAAGGCTTGAAGATACAAAAAACCTGTTGCATTCATTAAAAAAAAAAAAAGATTTGCTGGTTCCAAGGCCTGTGTTTTAATGTCAGCAAGTGTCAACAGCCAATGAGGAACAGTGAAATTTCCTTAAGAAAAAAGTCAGACTGAGCAAAGTTCTGTGGGCATACCAGCTTAAGTTTTTATTTTCTAGAAAACCTTTCAATGGACCCATTTTTATAATACAGTTTGAGACACATCTTTGAGATTGAAATTCTTTACAGAAATGAGCCAATTCCAGTGACATTTTTAATGATAAAAAAAAAATTATTTCAGGTCTATTGTTTCAATTACTTTTGTTTAGTTTTTTCATCATTTTAAACTCAATGCATTTTAATATTATGTGATTTTTTTTGGTGTTATTTAACCAAAATGTTTCTATCATTCCAAATTCTCCCCCCCACCCTGCAAAATTTATATTTCCTGATAAATTTCAGTTTTTCATTCAGAATCAAAATTTCCCTTGGAACAGAAATTCTTCCAACCATTGCTGGCCACCACTGGTACCCCAGCTAGGGTCTTCAAGGAACAGGGAGGGGAAAGCCCCTCCACAGGGCTTTTTGGTTCCCCACGCAGGCTAGAAAGGTAGGCTGGGATCCTTTGGTCCCTCCCCCTCGCTAGATGCCCTTGCATCCAAAGGGCTGGGGGTTGGGGGTGGGGGAAGAGGAGGGAGAAGGAGAGAACGCATCCATAGGCAGAAATTCCTGCAAAATGATCTTCCTTCCCCTCTTCCATGCAGCTACTGCCACAGGAGGGAGGACAGGAGGAAGGAGGAAGGAGTCCTTGAGGCCAGTGCCTGCCCAGCCAAGATCCCCTGCTTTGAAGGACTTTCCCACCAGGGCGGCCTCAGGGAGCAAAGGAAATCTCCCACTCTATTCCCCAGGGTGGCAGAACTGCTGCTGTGGTCCACTCCCTGTGTGTCTCTGATTCTTACCTGCAGGGGAGGGGAGATGGGAGGACAGAAGAATAAGGTTTCAGTTGTGGTCTGCGTGCTGCTCCCACACAACTGGAACCACACAGCTGCTCTTCCCAGTGGCTCCCAGCTCTGCCAGAAGACTGTGTGGAGCATGGGTGTGGGGGGTATGCACCTGTCCAGGGCCAAGCCAACACACTGCATCATGAATGACCCCCTCCATTATACATACACCAGAAGACATGGAGCTCAGATGAACCCCTGAGCTCCAGCACACCCCAACAGAACTGGCCCTGGGTCTCAGAAACCCACCAAGGGAATACCAGGGCCCAGTGAACTTATGGAACAAAGAAAATCATTCACAAAGTATCCGTGGAGTAATCTCTACCATGAATTTAACACATGCCTAAAATTTTGTTTACAGCATGTGATTTCATAGATTTCATAGACATTAGGGGCTGGAAGGGACCTTGTGAGATCATTGAGTCCAGCCCCTCTGCCATAGGCAGGAAGTCAGCTGGGATCAAGTAACCCCATCAAAGAAAACCTCCACATGTTTTTTGAAAAAGTTCAGAGTAGGTGCTTACACCACCTCTGGGGGGAGTTTGTTCCAGACCCTGGACATATGCATCGTAAAAAACATTTTTCTTATGTTTAGTCTAAATCGGCCTTCCTGGAGTTTATGGCCATTAGACCTTGTTATCTCTTGGGGAGCTCTGGTGAAGAGCTGTTCTCCCAGGTCCTGATGTACCCCTCTTATGTAATTGTAGGCTGCTACCAAGTCCCCCCGAGCCTTCTCTTTTCCAGACTGAAGAGTCCCAAGTCCCTCAGACTCCCCTCGTATGGCCCACCCTCCAGGCCTTGGATCATATGAGTAGCTCTCCTTTGGACTCTCTCAAGCTTTTCCATGTCCCTCCTGAAGCGGGGGACCCAAAACTGAATGCAGTACTCCAGCTACAGTCTCACCAAAGCCAAGTAAAGTAGGAGGATGACATCCCTGGTTTTGCTTGAGATGCATTGGTGGATGTACTGTAGCTCTGTGGGGTCAGGCCAACTCTCAGGATCTCAATATCGCGCTGTTAGACAGGAGGGTGTGACACAATTGCACATATACAAACACAAAAATCAATTAGGTGCATACACACACACACTACCAGCTCAGGCACATACACTTCCAAACCAGCCTAGACACATGCATACCTATCAACAACTCAAGCACATGCACTATACACCCCAAAAGTTCGACACAGATCACTAATTCGTATATCATGCACATAATGTCATACACACACACACACACACACACACATACACTCTCTCTCTCATCAGTTCACACACATACAACCCACCTATACAGACACACAGGTGAGTTCCTAACTTGGATGGTACAGTGTGTATGTGTGTACTTGGGGGAAGGTTCAGATGAGAGAGAGAGAGTTAAAGTGTAGGGCGTGAAAGTTTCATAGTTTCTAGGGTCGGAAGGGACCTGAGTAGATCATCTAGTCCGACCCCCTGCCATGGGAGGAAAGAGTACTGGGGTCAAATGACCCCAGCAAGGTGTACATCTAACCTACTCTTAAAGACCCCTAGGGTAGGAGCTGAGTAGTCCTCTTTGGTGATACTTCCCATTTTCCAACTGGTGTAGTCTTCTCTTTTGAGTTTAATGAGGTCCACAGTTCCTTGTTCAGCCAAGGGGGCTTCCTTGCCTGTTGACTACATTTCTTGCGAGATGGAATGGCTTTCCCCTGTGCTTCAAGGACTATGTTTTTGAGAGATGACCATTCCTTGTGTACACCCTTTTCTAGGGTGGGGTATGCCCTCTAATTGTCTGACTGACCAAATTTCTGAGTTTGCAAAAGTCAGCCTTCCTAAAGTTAAGGATTTATGTTTTACTGAGAGGCTTTCCTGTTCTTTGGTGAACTAAGAAGGTAACCAATTTTGCTGTCACCAAGCTTCCCCTCGATGATGTTCAGTATTGGAGTGAGAATGAATGGAAAACGAATATAACATATTATAATAATTTGACTCTGGGAGAGTTGGGGGCAGGAAAGGGGAATGTGTCCATTGGGGTTTGGGTGGAGCATCTGACAGCAGGCTGACTGCCCAGAACACCCAATTGGCTGATGGTAGGCATGCCCCCAACCCCTCATTTGGGACCCCTTACATGCAGAGCCAGAGACTTGTGAAAGAGATGCAGAGTGATTACTCTCAGTTGTGAGTTGCACTGGCTTTTGTGTCCCAGACTGCCTGCACCCTGCCATGGCATCCCCTGCACCCATGCCCAAAAATGGAAATGCAGGATGTGTGGCATGTCCTACTTGTTACCCTGCTAGACTCTCACTGGAGCCTGTGGGATATCGTGCACATCCACCTGGACATGGTGCAGCAGCTTGTCAGCATGGTATGTACCTTCATGTCCCCAGTCCAGCAGCCAGCCATCCCGCACGAGGCCATCTGCCACACCCTGTGCCTGCCAAGCATCCCAGACTGGGTCACTGACTTTCACATGGCTGATGAGGATGAAGCTATCAAGGACACCATGGAAGCCAGGGTGCTCTGGCATCACCTCCAGACCACTGAGCACCGGTTCTGGGCCTGTGCCACCAGCACTGACTGACAGGAGTGGATGATCCTGAGCACCTGGGATGACGAACAGTGGCTCCAGGCCTTCCATGTATGTCGGGTGACCTTCATAGACATCGTCACCCATCTGGTCTCCCACATCACATGCCAGGATGTCAGCATGCAGCCGTCCCTCACTCCAGACAAGCAGGTGGCTATTGCCATCATGAACCTCACTACTGACAGTTCCTGCTATGTTGCCAACCAGTTCAGTGTAGGGAAGTATAACAGAGAACCTGGGGCTCTCTGTTCCTTTAAGGTAAAAGCAGCCCAGTCAAGAAGCTCTGCAACCTAGGCAGTCTACCAACTGGAAGGGGGCAGAGCTCTGGGAAAATATAAGTCTCAGGCTCAGGCTAGCCTCTTCCTGGCTGCCACGGGGTGAAGAACTCCCAGCAGCAGGGCTCCTGGATGGACTGTGGTGCTGCATTTGGAGTGAGGCTAGAGGAGCTCACTAGGATATAGCCCAGGGCTGGGAGGCTATCCTAGCTGAGCTGTGAGGGAAAGTTTACACTCTTAAAGGGCCAGCAGGCTGCTGCTTCTTTGGGTTTATGTTATTGCCTGGGTGTTTATGGTTTATGTTACAGTTTACACTGGTGGTTTGGGTTAGGACTGTAGGGGTGGTATATGGAGATCCAAGTATTGCCCGGGGGGCACATGATTGCCTTGAGTGACTATTGAGCCCAGAGAGGGCAACGTGTAAGGCTACAGAGCCACGCAGAGTTCAGGGGCCTGGCACCCAAAAGGGCACAGCCACACAGGGGCTTGAGGCCCAGATGACAGTGGCCATGGGCCTGGTGACCAGAAGGGACAAACCAGAGCTAGTGCCTCAAAGCCTGGTCCGACACAGTAGCCTGGGCTAAAAGCCCTAGCCAGAGTAAATGGGCAGAGGCTGGGGAGGCTGAAGCCCCAACAGGAGGGAACAATGACATTGTAACACCTGTAAGGCTTGGGGCATGGTGTAGGGAAGGACTGGAGCCATGCAATTATCCCCTAAGGCTTTAGGTGCACTGCAGTGGCACAGACATAGGGAGGCCCAGTGAGGGGCCTGGGAGCACTAGAGGCCAGTGGGGGTACAGTTGGACTGTGGCTACAAAAAGGTCCATAGGCAGCCTCTCTATTTATTATTATTACATCAAGGCATGGTGGCTGAGAAGGGGAGGTGCCCTAAGGGCAGAGCAGGGCATGGTTGTGGAGCCACCAGGGGGTGCCACAGCTGCCCCTAGGACCCTGACATGCTACAGCAAGTCCATGGCCAGAGAGGCCATCTGGGATGTCTGCAGGGTCATCCCAGGTCTTGGTTCTGGGGCTGATTTTGTTCTATGTCTTCAACAATGACCTGGAAGATGGGATGGAGTACACCTTCAGCAAGT